TAATAAATTTAAATATCTGGGGGCTCTTTGACTTTCCTCTTCATAGGCTCTCCAAGTTATTAGAGTTTTTTTGTTTGTTTGTTTGGAGTTCATGATATGTAGATTATTATTTTTGAAGGGGGGTTCCAGCTTTTATCTTTCCCCCTTTACACAGAAAAAAACCAGAAGAAATAATATAGGATTAAAACTGCAAACGTGGTTAATTGGTGGAACACATGCATAAAAAGCCAGATAGGAAGACAAGCTTACTTATAATGAGGGAGCCGGTGCTCTTTGACTAGCTAGGAGGATTGGAGGTGGGAGGAGGAGGGCAGGTTCAGAGGGAGCTGGCATTTGCATGCCTGTGACTGACTCATGCTGATGTATGGCAGAAACCAGCACAATGCTGTAAAGCAATTATTCTCCAGTTAAAAATAAAAAAGGAGACATGTGTAAATGACAGTAGTTTGTAGTTTTTACAAAAGACATGAAAAAAGAAACGTCAAATAAATACATGTTACTGTTTGTAGCACACTGTTTACATCAGTATTAAAGGGGAGAAACACTAATTTAGGGACAGATAGACCGCAAGGTCCAGGTCTTTAGGGAGATTATTGGGAAATTCCTTTAGCATCCCTTAATGATCAAGGACAGTATTGTTCTGATAGTAGAAAGTCTGTAACCACTGGCTAACAGATCTTTTTCTTGGGCTTGCAATGGATTTTTTTACAGTTAGCATTCTCACATACTTTTGAGTGATTCTTTCCCTGGAAATTCAGGAGGGGGAACTATTTATTATGAAGAATAAATGCTGCCAAATTTCTTAGGAGAGAGAAACTTTTCACATGTCATTGGTTTCCAAAATTGACAAAACTCTTGGATACTTAAGATATTTTTAAGGAGTATTTCAAGAAATACTCTCATTAGAAGATGTGGCCAAGAATTCGAGTCAGTTCTGGTGAGGTGGATGAACCTAGAACCTGTTATACAGAGTGGAGTAAGTCAGAAAGAATGAAACAAATATATTAACACATGCGTATGGAATCTAGAAAAATGGCACTGATGAATCTTGCAGTGCAGGAATAGAGACGCAGACATAGGGAACAGACTTGTGGACACCGCAAGGGAAGGAGAGAGAGGGTTGCATTGAGAGAGCGGCGCTGACACATACACATTATCGAATGTAAGATAGATAGCTGGTGGGGATTTGCTGTGTGATGCAGGGAGCTCAGCCTGGTGCTCTGTGACAGCTTATAGTGGTGGGAGGTGGGAGGAAGGTTCAAGAGCTGGGGTAATATGTATACTGGTGGTTAATTCATGTTCTATGACAGAAACCAGCACAACATTGTAAAACAATTATTCTCCAATTAAAAATTAAAAAATTTTTCAAAAAGATGTAGCTAACACATTTCAGAATTGTTTGATGGTTAGAGTCAGATGTTAGTAACACAAGAGCTAGAGATGCAGCATAAACTAACTTAAGAGTGTGAATTTTAAAATCATGCAGGTGGTTCTGGCTGTGATAGGCTTAAACAAGAAAGCCCTCCCATACGATTTTCTTACTGCTCCATCTGGGCTGGGAACATGATAGTTTTGTAATAGCTTAGGAGGGTTTGAGAGCAAAGGGATCATGAGAAAGAAAAGGGGGGAAAAAACCTATTTTCATCTGAGAAGTGAGAGGAGTGTTGCACTTTAAAGAGAAAATTGCTTCTCGGCACTGGAATCTTTGTGAGCCTGTCCAGGACAGATTTGCTGTTCTTGAAAGTTTCAAGATATTTCCACTGAGAAATCAAAACAGTACGTGCTTCAGCTGTGACCTTCATTAGAGAATATAGCTGTAGCTTAGAAAAGCTAGGAGGGGGATACACATGAGAGGACACTGATCTCTGGAGGACAGAAATAAAGTGATGCTTATGAGACAGGAGGAGTCAAGGCCACATGGAGCCCCCTACAAAAGCCCCTAGATGGCAAAGCTTTTTTCAGTGCTTTCTAATTTCTTAAAAAATCCATTCTAAACATCAGTTGTGACCACTGCTTTGTTGTATTAGGGTTTCTGGCTCATATTTCTCTCCTAGATTTCTGTTGAATTGCTGAACAGACCTTTTTCTATCCTACAGTTTTCTTCCTTTGAAAATTTAGCTCTCTCTTTTTCCCTGCTCAGCTACTACTTCAGTAGGTATTCTTCCCGTCTTTCCTGAGTCTGCTTGTCTTGCCACAATTTTATCCCTGTGCTTTGAAACAGATATTTAAGTTATAGTGTAGATTGGACTCTAATGAAGCTTCAGGGTTAGCCAAACCTTCTCTTGGAGTTCTTTCTTTGTTGGTTAATTCACAGCTTTTATGTAGTTTGATCTTTAAGCTGTAATGTAATATATAGATAGATGGCGAATGTAAATAGCAAAAAGAAAACTTTAAAACTGTGATTCACCTAATTGTAATCTTACTTGAGTGGAAAATCTTCTGATTTGAAGAGAAAGAATCAAGAACTGAGAAAAATAAGAGATCCTTGTTGTTTCCAAAGGTCAAATCTTAGGAGAGAGAGATTTTTCCTTAATAATGGAAGATTTTTAACCTTTCAGAGCTGTCTAAGGATATCTCTCAGTTAATATAATAACCCACTTGTATTTGCATATACTGATATATATTTAGAAATACAGGTTTTGTTACAGAAAGCTATGTAGATATGGGAAAAATAAATTATATATACACACACAAAATTCCTTAAGAACCGTTGAAATGAACCATAAAAGTTAAAGTATAATCATTTTTGTTATTTTTAAATATTTTAGAGCATAGTTTATGTAAGGAATAAAATCAAAGGCCTATTACTTTTTATTTCTGGAATAATAACAGTATTTTTAATGAAGAAAATTTTTCCTAGGCAACTTGGGTAGATTATTTTTCTTCTAATCATATAACTATTTGCTAATTAAATGAATTACTGTCGAATCTTTGCTTCATTTACCTAAAATGGTGTGTTGACCTTAGGAAAGTGGCCATTTTCTTTTTTTTTCCTTCCTTTCTTTCCTTTGCTTTAAATAAATTAAACTGTTGACACTTGCCGCTATTTTAGATTACATTTGAGAAAAACTTCTTACCAATTATGTAGGATATGACTTCTGTAGCTGCCTGGAAAGGCAGTAACAAGATGTCCAGTCAGTTATTACACTGGTGGGTTCCTGTTATGTGCGTTTCTCAACATGACACCCAGCAGACTTAAGCTTTCTGTTCTTAGAAGACTTACTAACAGATCCTTATGGTTCCAAAATCCAGAAAGGTCAACATTTTGCAGAAATCCTGACAGATCATCTTCCCCTTCTAGGCTTCTCCTTCCTCATTTCTGTAGCGTGAGCTACAGACCAGATGCAGCCTGAAAATGGCATCCAAAGCAAGCCATTATTCATGCCGTTGTGTGACTTTTAGGAGAGAAAATTAAGTTTAGAGTACCTTTCACTCAATGTAAAAAATAAAAGAAAGTTCTGTTTGTAGTATATATACTGATAACTCCTGAAATCTTAGTCTGTAGCAGTTCTCTGGCACCTCGTTATTTTTTAACAGAGGAAGAGTCCAGGCCCAGGAAGGATGCCTGCCTGATAGAAATGCTCTAACACGCTCTCACTGCAGACTAGTGAGCCCTGGGTTTCTTTTAACCCATAGGTGCTTCAGTCCAAATCAGTTTCCTTTCGTCCCTTCACTAGTTTTTGTTTTCTCTTGCCACCGCTTTGAGAAAGGTTTCTTTCCTTCCTTGACCTGTCATGAACCAAACCATATTCTTAGCTTCATTCCCCCACTCTTTTATCCCAAGAGCAAGTACATATCTAATTGGAGAGAATTTCTTTTTTTTTTAAGCCTGTTTTAGATTATACTTTGGGATATTATTCTGTTGCTAAGGAAACAAGAGGGTGAGAATAGGTAAAAAAAAAAAAAAGTACCCTTCAAGGTGTTAGTGACAGGTCTTGGGGATATAAAAAACTGATGGGAAATAGCCAGTTGCAGTGACTCTTTTAGGCATTGTTTCACTGAAGTAGGAAAGTAAAGACCTTGGGGTGAGAGTAGGGCAGAGGCGGAGAATGCAGGTTCCTCGAAGAATGGAGGGGAGGGCTCTGGTGTTTACTTTCCTCTTCCTGTCCCGTCTTATCATAGTCCTGTCACGGGGTGAGCCAGAGCTGGCCTGCTGATGAGGCTTTCGGGAAGTGCGGGAAGTTACTGGCTTTGTAGCACTAAGAGGGAAGGATGAAGAACAGGGGATCTGAAAGAGGCCTTCCTAAATGAAGGATGAATTAGTCACATTTCTTTACCAAGACATTGTATTGCAGGACAATGCAAGATGACCTTCTGGCACACTGTTGCTATGAACTTTGGCAGATACCTTGCAATTCTTGTTTCATATTTTATTTTGAGTATCTTGTCAGGAAACCAAGTGATATCCTGTAATATAATCAGTTATTTCTTTTCAAAAGTAATACTGTGCCAGTGGGAACATTTTTTTAAACTAGAGATAGGCTTTGAAACAAAACATTAAAATAATTACGGTGGAAGTATAAATAAATTTCACAGGGAAGTTACTCTTATCATCTTGCTACTGTATATTTACTTTGGAAGTGATTTTGTTTTTCCTACCAAAATAAATTTTTTTTTTAATAAATTACTTTTTGTTGTTTATTTTCTGGAATATAGATAATTATGGCACTGGAGGACTTTAAAGTTATGTTCTGAAATCTGAACTTTTATAAAAGAATGTCTGAGGTTAAGATTCGTTTACCTTTATCCCTCTTCTCTTTACAGTCCCTCATAGATATGAATTAATTTCTGAAATTCTACCTTGATTGTCTGGGATTTTTGCTTTAAATTCTGTTTCGTGTAAACCAAGGAGTAGGTTTCGTTATTCACACTTTTTGTGAGGTCTATAAATTTTTATTTATTTTAGAGTTACCCAGATCAAATGGAAGTATGCTTCCGTCCAGAGAATGTAAAGGCAGTAGTAAATGTTTCTTCTCCCCGTTCCACCACTTTTTCTTCAGGCTCCCGTTCCAAAGAGTGCACTTATTCCAGTAATTCCCATCACCAAATCAACAGGCTCCCGGTTCCGGAATAGTGTGGAAGGATTGAATCAGGAGATTGAGATAATAATTAAAGAGACTGGGGAAAAGGAAGAGCAACTTATAGTAAGTAATCTTGTATCTTAAAATCAGCCTTATACATTAATTTTTCTAATTATTAAAAAAAAAATCACAATTTTGGTTTCCATATTTACATGTTTCTTGCTTCTTGTTGAGAATAAAAATGTATCTCTTTTGTAAAACTCTGACCTTTGCATGTGAATGACAGTTTTTCTTTGCATCTCATAGAGACAACTGATATGACTTAAATTTGGGCCCTTGAACAGAAACTGCTTTTTGTTTTTCTGTATTTAAAAATCACAGGTATGCTTCTCATTGTCTGTAACTCCATTTAACAAAAGTTCAGCTTACTAGCTTGTTGTTGGTGGCGTGGAATATTTTCTGAGTATGAATATATATCTTACTGTTTGTCAGTTATTGTAAGGTCTGCTTACCTATAACATACATAGAATGTGTATTCTATTAATTGTGACATACAAAAGTATGGTTTATATGTAAGACAGAAAATTTCCTGTTTATATTTAAAAGCAAGTCACAGTATACGGAAGCTTTCCTTCTTCAGTGAAAGAGGAATTGGGGAGTTTAAAGTAGTCTTTTATTGACGCCTGAGATTCTCTCCCTTAAGACGGAAGGTTGGTTTAGCTTAGAGAAAACCCCACTGCCCACACCCTACCCTCCACTGGATGAGGGTGAAACTTCCCCTGATGTAAAGGTAAACGCACCAAAGGTGTACGGGGAGCTGGTTTCCCTGCTGAGTGAGTCACACAAGCCTTCCTCTGAACAGCCCCCTTGATTTCCCTCTGTAATTAGCACTGCTCTGAGGAACCGTTCTCTCCCTCAGGCGGGTTTCGTTGAGAACACGGTTTGAGGAGGCAGTGAGCAGGGGCAGCCGATCATCAGGTGTCACTGGCTCACACAGCGCCCCGCCTTTCCTTCTCATGGAGCTTAGGCTTCCACCTAGGTTTCTCCTCGTTTATAATGGTGTGCCTTGATCATTTTGAAAGTCGCAGTGAGCACGTGATATGAAACAACTCGGTGTTGTTTCGCGCGTCCGCGGCGTGCCAGAGCCCTGGGAGCTCAGAGGCTCGCTCGGCCACCCGGCGTCCCGCGGCCGGGGGGGGCGGGGAGACGGCGCGGCTTCCGCACGGCCACGCAGAGGCTTGTGTCTCTATCGTGAGGGCGACAAGGAGAGGCTTTCTGACTTCTGAGTCTTCTGCAACAGGGGAAGGTTGAACCTTGCGTGCCTTTCTGGGGGAATTTCAAAATCAGTGACCAAAACACACACATGTAAAACATTTTCGTGACAGCCCCAAGACATCCCAGATGGCCACCGCGCGCCGCCGCCGCTGGCTCAGAGAAGCAGCAGCACGCGCAGCGCCGACACGCAGACCCCCGGCGGGGCCGAGCGGGGCAGCAACGACAGCAGCCGCTCCCAGTCCGTGTCGCCCACCTCCTTCCTCACCATCTCCAACGAGGGCAGCGAGGAGAGCCCGTGCTCAGCCGACGACCTGCTCCTCGACCCCCGGGATAAAGGTACGACACGGGAGGGGTTTGCCGCCATGGGATATGTGATGCCACCGCCGCATCCTGCTTTCTGTTCATCTTCTAGCAGAACACATACACTTAGGGCTACTAAGATCGTGACTTTGAGATGTGTTCAAAATACAGATTTTAAAGAATTGTGGTACAGAACCGTAGGTTTTATTGCGGTACTCAGGTGATGGTCAAGTTGGCTGGGTTTACGGGCTTTTGTTTGTACAATTTTTTTTTTTTTTGCACTTTCTAACACAAGCTCCTTAATAGTGAGTAACATCGTTTTTGGTATAAATGAGATAAACATTTGTCCTGAAAAGCATTTGTTTTCTATTACCTTAGTTGTCATGTTTTTACTACCTTACTACTTTTTAATTGAATGTGAAGCCTTCAAGTTAGTGTGTTTCAGGATCTATATTTGTGATATTTCTAATAAGAATTAATCTGACTTACATCAGTGCAAGGTGAGTATTCCAGGCAAGCCTGGAGTAAAAGGGGAGGTGGGATACTTACTTAGTATTAAACCACTTGCATGATTCAGAAAGTACTTGGAGACATAGCACTTTGAATATTAGTTACTAATAATGTTTTACTTTTAAAATAAATATGATCTTTCATCTATCTTTATCAAGGCAGTCTTTTCTTAGTCTAAATTCTAGTTATTACTACATGAGCTTGAGAAAAAATGATAAGATAAATTCTATGGCTCAGTTCAGTAGTCATTTATTTAGAACCTCCTACTTGCAATGTGTTGATTGTCGGAAAATATTCCACGTCCGATGACAACGGATCATTAGTGCCAGTCATCTGAATACTGAGACTATAGCAAGTGCAGAAGACCTAAGGTTTACTGAAGAAGTCACTTCAGACTATGGGCAATTGTAAAACCATACTGTTGGGGCCCTTTTTTGTCATCTACAAGGTTAAATGAAACTTGGCTATACCCTAGACCAGTTATTGATAAATCATACCCCCTGGGGGCAGGACACGGGCACCAGCAGTTTTCGGGGCTCCCAGGCGATTCACATGCACAGAATTTTGACACCACTGAATTAAATCCTTTGATTGGGCCTTGTGTTTCTTGTCAGGAGTTGACATAATTAATTACTTCTGATACTTGCTGTAAGGATTAAAAGAGAGTGAATGCAGCTCCGAGTACTTAAGCTCAATCAGATGTACCTGCCCCACCCAATCCGCCCCCAGACTAACCATAGCTATTAAAATCTGCCCCTTGATTTCCCATACTGTCTACTTTTACTTCAGAAGCATATGGGAACTCTAAGTTTTGTGCCCTGCTATATTTGACTTTAGGAGACTAGTGACTGGTTAACTTCTCTGGATTTCTTTTGTAAGAAAGGGTTACTGTCAGCAAGGAGTTGTAGTTTAGTTGACACAGACAGTACATTTAGAACACGTAGGTTACATATCAAGAATTCTAAGTTAATGTGGTAGAAACCGAGGACATCAGCACTGAACAGAATCACCAGAGTAAAGAAGTGTTCCCTTGGGTAGGGTTAATTTAGAAAGATAACAAAAACTTTGAGCCAGACTTTGAAGGAGAGGTTTTGGAAAATGAGCAGAGAAGGACCTCTTAGGTATAGAGAAGTTTGTAGGCAGAAGAAAGTCTCCGCCATACACCGTGCATAGACTGACTACCTAGGGCAGAGATTGCAGCCAGAGTAGAGAAATCAGTTGAGAGATTCTGAGGGACAGCCAAGAGTGAATTACAAACCACCAGTGAGGAACCATTTTAGTTATTTGTCTTGGGAAGAATGGAGGTGGCATTTGAGCCCACGTGCTGTGTACAGAATAGAAATGAGCAGCAGCATACTGCCGTATTCAGTGCTGAGGAGTAAGTTACACAGGCCTAGGCTGCGGGAATTGTAAGTAGAAAGGAAAATCTCTGGTTCATGCATTTTTAAACCAACAATTATGTCTTTTTTACCAGGAATTATGTTAGATATTGGGGTAATGTGGATGAGTAAAGCCTTGTTCCTACCCTCAAGTAGTAGCTCATGGTGTAGGCGAGGCCAGGAGCAATCAAATACAGTAGGACTATGCACGTATGTGCTGGTATTTCTTAGTAATCCAGCATGTTGTTTCTTGCAGAGAATGGGAACAACTCTCCTTTGCCCAAATACGCAACCTCACCAAAACCTAACAACAGTTACATGTTCAAAAGGGAACCTCCTGAGGGCTGTGAGAGGGTCAAAGTCTTTGAGGAATGCTCGTAAGTATCCCCCACCACCCCTCCCCCATCTCAAACTTTTATTATGAGAAGTATTAAAAGAATTGCAGATAGGCTGAAGAACAGTACAGTGACCACCCATATATCCAACACTAGATCCTATAGTTAACATTTTGCTTTGTCTCTTTGTGTTTTGGTGTTAGTTTTTTCGGAACTGTTTTAAAGTAAGTTATAGTCATGACATTTAACCTTGAATACAGTTTAATACTTATTTCCTAAAAGTAACCACTCCTCCATAACCACAGGACCAATTTCACACCAAAGAGAATTACAGTTGTGCTTAACATCAGCCAGCATCCAGTCATTACTCACATTTCCTCAGCTGACCCCAGCATGTCACCCGTGGTTATTTCTGAACCTGTAGACAGTCAGCGCACACATTGAATTTAGCAGTGTGTTTATTTAAGAGAGACCACAGATCTCAATGCAGGGCGGGTTTCCTCCTTTCAGGGTTCAAATTCCCTTCAGTTTTTAGTTTCCAGTTCTTTAAACAATTAAAATATTTTCCTGCCAACATGGGGAGGAGAATTCTATTACTTTGCAGAAACATGTTGCTGTGATAAAGATCATGAAAGCAGCAGAACTTTACACAGCATCTGGTACCCTTGGTATGCGATCTTCTATACTCATGTATTTCTGCTGGCTTTTACTCTAGTCAGGGACTCTTGACTTTAGACTCAGAATCTGCTTAGAAGGTACTGCAGCCATGGCCTATTTTCAGCAGCTGTGGCCCCTTGCCTTGTAAGTGATGGCTACAGGATTGTAGGTATGTATGACGCTGAGCAAATCAGATGACAAACATTTGAAGAGAGAATGATGGTACATCTATAAATCTCACTTTTCAATCTCATTGCAAGACTAAGAGACACCTTCTGGCTTTTTCTCACTATGAAACTAAAAATACAGTGTGGAGATTGTCCAGCCTTGTTTGGTTCGCGTAACTTGTATGTTCCATCACGGGTATCTTAGAATCATTTTGAAACATGGCATGCTCTTGTTCTGTGTGCCCCTCCTGTCGGCGCTTCCCTTCATGTCAATTCTAAACAATTTGCCACACAAAGAGCATTGTCTTTGAATCCCTTCACCTTCTCTGCTAGGAGATCCCAGCTGTCAGTCTTTTTGCTTTTGTGACAATAATTGAAAACCCTGTTTTAGCCGCTGCTTATTTACTCTTTGCACCATGTAAGTCTGAAGGCATGCCTGGTGCCAGAGAGTTTAAGCAGAATTTCTCCACACATGTGTTTCATGGACTCCTTGCACCATAATCATCCAGGAAATTAGTTCAGACTAGAGAGTCCCAGGTCCCACCCTAGCCCTAAGGAGTGAAAAGTATGGAGGTAGATAGGACCTGGATTATGCATCTTTAACACATCTCAGAAGGCTTTTATGCGTCACTTGAACATGCTGACTTAGACCTTTTCATGAGAGTTCTTCAGAAATGGAGTCATTCTAATAGGTAAAAGTTCAGTGGTCCATGTGGAACCTTTTGGAGTATTTGACTCATGGCTGATAGACTTAAAAAGCAGTTTGAATTTCTGTATCAGTGACTTTGAGTGAATATTGGTTGTGTAGGTTGGTGTCTTGTGGCATCTGCCTGGACTGTTATATTTGGAAAAGCTCTCAGTATCTGAACTGTATACATACAACTGTGTTGGTTTTTTCTAAAGAGAGGGAAGAAAGGATGGGGAATATGTATGTATGTGTGTGTATGGATGGATGGATAAAAAAAAGGTGAACCATGACATATAAAATGTTTTATGCATATCCATCTGTTATTAGAAGGTAAATCTCTTCTGAATGCACATAGTTTATTATAAATTTTACTGACATAAAGGATGTGTAGATTTTTAAATATCTTAATTGTATTCCAAAAAGAAATAGCAGTAACCCAAGAATGGATTTTTTAGGGCTAATTTTAACCTTCTATCAATAAAACAAGTTACTCAGAGTCTAAAATATTGGTTTCTTTTTGCCCCAGATATGTATGTCATAATTAGAGCAAAACCCACTGGATGCACTAGCGTTAAAGCAAGGGTAATTATTGGTCCTAATCTTAAAATTTTAGCTTATTTAATCATTCTTTAAAGTATATGTCTCTAAGTCTTCATTTTTGTTTAAAGGTAGACTTAGAGAACCAGCTGTTGGAGTCAGGTGAGGGGTTAAACTCTCATTTGTATGTTTATTTGCTTGAAAGAAAATAGGTAGTTGGATTTGGGCCCAGAAAGGACAAGACCAGATTTTGCTTTTTTTTTTTTTTTGATACAGCAAAGACCTTAGCCATGCCTTCTGCACTTAGCAAGTCCTTTTTAATGAAGTCACATAGGCTGTTTCCTGATCCCAGTTAATGAACTCCTTGACCTTAGTTATCTTAGGTTCCTAGATATTACGGCCTCTTTGCAGTATAGAGATTTTTTTAAAAGTATGACAGAACCCTTTCCTTTCTTTCCCTCTCTCCCATTCTAAGTAAATTGGAACCACCATTTCTTAGCTGATAATTTATTTCTGAATTTGAAAAGAAAATTGCATAAGGCTTTAAAAAAAATACCAAAGAATTCCTTACATCAGTACGAAAATACCTATAATAATTACCCAGTCTGACCATCTATTTTTCAGAAATCAGCTAGCAAGCAATTATATCTGTTTTGAGATACAGTCACTTTTGGTATAACTTATGGAAAAATAAAATATTTAAATTAATTCTGAAGGTTTCTGTTCTTTGTTTTTTTTACATACTTGTTTCTTAAATTGAAGAAAGCTTTGTAGTAGTATTAGAACTTGCAGCTTCTGTTAATAGTGGCATAAGTATTATACTGGTCATGCACCCCAGGGGTGGGTAATGAATTTCTTGGAGAATCTTCTCCTAAAAGTTAAATGGAGTAAAAATTGATTCCTTTTGGTGGGTTGGGGTCATGACTGGAAGAGGGGTGGGGGCGTGATGCTTTTTTTTTTTTTCTAACCTGTTAGTGTTTTGTTTCTCAATCTGTATGCCCGTTAGACAAGTTATTATATTTTGTTATTTTGTGTGAGATCTGTTGTTAAGTCTGTTTTCATGAAAGCAGAAAGGGGGTTAAACTGATTTTAGGTTCTGTCATTAAAGTCACAGTTGTCAGATCATTAGTTGAAGAAAAACTGCACAGTTTTTTTGACTATTAACTATAAATATATGTAATTTTTAAAAGTGTATTTTTGGTGCTGATGGGATGTAGGTGAGAGGGAATTTTAGATTCTCTTCTAGCAGTATAGAGGCTGAGAAACTTACTGATAATAATGATGCTATATAATTAATGTTGTGTTGAGAATTCATTTGAAATGTGATCCTATTTAGGCCAGAGCTGAAACTTGGAGTAGGTACCTACTTAATAGCATTAACAAATGAATTAGCCTTAAGAAAAAAAAAAGTAAGAAGTTTATTTGTATTTCAGAAATACGAGGTATCATCCTCAAGATCTACTAGCAGCATTGTGTCTTAACGTGATTTTTAGCAAGATAACATCAAACAATAATTAAAAACCTAAGCCTCATTTGAAGTAGGATGTAAAATTTGATTAGCCCTTTTTTCCCCTAATATAAGAATGAAAGTTATCTTTACTAATTCTTCACACACACAAAAAAACCAAGCATTATTTAATTATAGAAACATAATATCAACTTCCTATCTGCTTTAAGGAATTGAAAACCATGTTGTCAGTAAAAATAGAGGGGTGTATGCCCTTCTTACAGTATATCCAAATACACGTGACCCTAAAAGTACTCAACATATAAAGTTTCCATTGTATCCAAGAAAGAACAATACACAAGTAAAACAAATTTAAATGATGTAATTTATTTCTTCTTAAATTATTCTTGCCAAAGCTATCCACGGGTAGTATTCACTATTAATCAATAAAATATGCTTACCCAAAGCACTGCCTATATGGAACATTTCTTTTTTTTTTCTGGCACCTACTCCCCAGGTTTGTTGCTTATTCATTCTTTAAAGCCCAGCTCAGATGTTTCTTCCTCTAGAAGTTATCTTCCTACCAAACTCCCCCTCTTTGTGTCAGAGGTTATTCACTCGCTTGTTCTACCTCTAAACATTTTACAAACCATTTTTATCCCATTTTTATCTCATCCCACATGCTTGTGGGGGTTTTTAACCTTTTTTTGCTGTCGACATTTCTGACAGTTTGGTAAAGCTTATGGATACTTCGAAGTGATTCATAGCTTCTCTGAATTGTTTTCAGTTCAGTTCAGTTCGGTCGCTCAGTCGTGTCTGACTCTCTGCGACCCCATGTACCGCAGCACACCAGGCCTTCCTGTCCATCACCAACTCCCAGAGTCCATCCAAATCCATGTCCATTGAGTCAGTGATGCCATCCAACCATCTCATCCTCTGACGTCCCCTTCTCCTCCTGCCCTCAATCTTTCCCAGCATCTGGGTCTTTTCCAGTGAGTCAGCTCTTTGCATCAGGTGGCCAAAGTATTGGAGTTTCAGCTTCAGCATCAGTCCTTCCAGTGAACACCCAGGACTGATCTCCTTTTGGATGGACTGGTTGGATCTCCTTGCAGTCCAAGGGACTCTCAAGAGTCTTCTCCAACACCACAGTTCAAAAGCATCAATTCTTCTGTGCTCAGCTTTCTTTATAGTCCAACTCTCACATCCATACATGACCACTGGAAAAACCATAGCCTTGACTAGACAGACCTTTATTGGCAAAGTAATGTCTCTGCTTTTTAATATGCTGTCTAGGTTGGTCATAACTTTCCTTCCAAGGAGTAACTGTCTTTTAATTTCATGGCTGCAGTCACCATCTGCTGTGATTTTGGAGCCCAGGAATTATGTTTTAAAAACACACTAAAGATTATAAGGGAGACTGATAATACTGAAATACAGTCTGTTCCTTATACCTCTCTCGTCCCAAGAACTACATATTTAGTATGTCTCCATGTATGTCATTTTATCTTTAGGTCTCCAGAATCTAGTGCAGACTTGGCACACTTGGATTTTTTTTTTTTTTAATTAGGAGAGATGAGAACCATACTTTTATTGTATGATCGATCATACTACCTTTTCCCACCTGAATCTTGGTTTATTTAGGTTCTTCCATTTGAATTTCTTTATAATTTTGTGTCAGTTCCATGTTACTTTAACAGTTTAAATTTTATATTTTTATGTTTAGGGAATACCACTAACACTTGTATCCTTTTCCAACCATTTGGGTTAATTGTCAAGGGCACCTGAGGACAGGGAAGGATTTCGGGTCAATAAAACCTTTAGAACCAGAGGACTGTCATTAGTTTTACTTTGATTTTACATTTACATTATGTTATTCAGAAAATCATTATGGCTATTAACTCAGAACTGTTTCAAAGAGATTTTTAAGGGCACTTGGAGAAGTCATGGCCAGCAAAGTTTAGTCACGCAGTGGCAAAGCTCAGCAAAAGATAGACATCTCGTGTCCTTCATTTCCTTGCCTTTGCCCTTCAAAATAGTACAGACTTTGGAAAACTCATAGTAGAACATATTTTTGTCTTTAAAGAGCTGGAATATCTTTTGCTTTAGGAAATTCTTTATTCACATTGGCTGTCTTAGAGCTTCACTGAGATGCCTGAGCATCCTGTGTGGAGCCTGGGCTGCCAGGGAGCTGAAATCAACAGTAAACTCATGTCCTTCCAGCACTCTGAGATGCATAATTCAAATCATGTGTCCTTGGTTGATGGCATTTGGAGCTTTGGACATAGCTTGAGATTTGTTTTCCTTTTTTGTGTCTATAAATTGTTGTTTTTAAAGAAAAAAACTTACTTCTGGTGTTTCGTGACTTAAAAGTCTTGGGTTATTTATTCTGTGTCTAGGCCAAAACAACTTCACGAAATCCCAGCCTTTTACTGTCCTGACAAAAACAAGGTGAATTTCATTCCTAAAAGCGGCTCTGCTTTCTGCCTCGTCAGCATCTTGAAGCCTCTCCTCCCCACGCCAGATCTTACCCTCAAGGGCTCCAGCCACAGCCTGACCGTCACCACTGGCATGACCACCACTCTGCTGCAGCCCATCGCCGTGGCCTCCCTGTCCACCAGTACAGAGCAAGACCGAGTCTCTCGAGGAACGAGTACAGTCCTGCCCCCGGCCTCTCTCCTCCCCACCCCAGAACCCATCGAGGAAGCAGAAGGATAGGTCCCAGTGCTGTGAGGCTGTAGTTCTGGGCAACTGAGAACCTCCTCGACCCCTTGGCAGGGATGGCCTCGTGGCCCCTGGTTGGCTGTGACGGGCCCCAGCTCTTCCACACTGATGCGGTGTGGCGTGGCTGCTGGAAGGGAGCGGCCCTTCTGGAGGCCGGCCCTCAGCGCCGAGCCTGCTTTTGCTTAGAGCACCAGTTGAAACAAGAAAAAGGTATCATTCTTTCCTTTTGGAGGGCCGATATCACGTTTTTTGTTCTCAAATTAGACTTCTTTGAAAAAAACAAAAACAAAAAACTGATCCCTGCAAACATGATTCCTGAAGGGAGATGTGAATGATGCTGCAAGAACCATCTTTTCTATGAAAATGACTATTTTATACCAATGTTAACATTTTCTGGAAACGTAGCAAACAGGATGTTCTTCGGGGGCCTCTGTTTCTTGTTTCCCTTTCTAGAGGTGTGCTTTTCGCAGCTGTTTTCAGCTTTGGGACCAAAGGGATTTTTGACATTTTCCTAGCAATCTTAATCTCATGACTGTGTTCTTCTCCCAAACAAGAATTGATAGGTTAATACCTTGAACAAGTACATATATAAAAAAGATAAAAAGCAATATGAGTACATTATGTGACTTATGTTTTCTGATGTCAGAAGTTTGTGCTTTGGGTGAAATATTTGTAAAACTGCTGTTTTCTTCACTACTCCTGTACACATTTCACCACGTTGTCAGAAACATTATAATCTGGAGACAAGTGCTTTAGTATGTTCTCACCCATCATTGGAACTTGGTTTAAAAGTCAGCGAGCCAAAAGGAAATTTACCCGCCCAGTGTCGACTAGCTAGCTAGGAGTAAGGAGCCCCTTGGATTTTCTGCGCAGTATTGATCACAGGAACGCCCTTCTGTCCCACAGGTGTCTCTCTGCCTTTAACCGTCACTGTATCATAGCCCCAAGAGATCCTGAAAATGGCTGTGCATGGATTTCCTCCTCTGCTTTTGTGATGTTGTCGTCTTGTGGATTTGGTCTGGGTTAGTAGTTTGCCAAGAGTGTGATCCATTGAATAGCAACCCTTAGTCACAGAATCTTGAGACTGATGTTTCCTTTGTGGTGGTTGGCACTGAGATATGTTGCCTGCCTATAGACTTTGCTAGTTTTTGCTCCAACATTCCACACAGAGGGGGAGAAAAACAGGCCAGAAGGGCTTTGGAGCATAAACAGCAGGAACCTTTGAAGAATTTGGGATTTAGGCTGATCTTAACACAAGCACTGCCAGTATCACATGAAGCAGCCTTCATGTCTGGATACGTGGTATTAAGGAGCAGCGCTTTTTAAAAAGTTACAGCATTGTTGATAGAAAGCATCCTTCTAAGATCTTCATAAACTACCTTATGATGCAATAATTTAGTGTTCCCATACATATTATAGGAAGAGAACATTTAAATACTGTAAAAGGGATTCAGTTTAGAAGGTTAATATGTCAGTTTGTCCAGATATATCCCATCAAAGAAAACCTAGTGGTAGCAATAAATCTTCTGAAAGGACTTCTTATATTTAAGTACCTTTAAAACATCTAAATAATTAAAACTATGCCCTGTTAAAAATGGAGATATATTTAGGCAAATTAGGTAAACTCCACATTTGAATAGTCTCAGGCTTCAGTTGGTAGGCCTGATGAATTTTGGTACCTTTTCTGTCCAAAACTGATTTACCTGGAACCTGGTACATTGTGGCTTCTAAATTGGAAAAGCTCAGCTATTCAAGGTCTAAGTGTTCTCTGGCGGGTTGGTTTTTGAGAACCTTGATCATTGGACTTTACCATTTCACCACTGAGAACTGCTCTGTCAGAGGTACAGAAGAAGGGTAAAACCGAAATCAGGTGAGCTAGTGTTGAAGGTTGGAAGTTAAAAATAAGGTTTCAAAAAAATTCCCCAATCAGTTTTTGGATAACCTGGATTCTGTTAAATCTCTGTTCTTTTCCTTGCCTCAGACTGACTTCTCTTGCCATCTGGACGTGGTCACAAGGGTGTTTTACTAAAATACCACTTGGTATACAGTTTTTCTACTTACTCTGTTCACGTTTGTCTAACACATCTTTCTGTATTCATATATCCTTAACCTAAAGTAATTTAAAATCAGAATGGAGACAGTTTTAAGATACTATCATTTTCATAGTCTTATAGGTGGAACTTTTAATGTTTGGCTGTAAGGAGAATGTGAATTTGCAGGTAAATGAATTATATGGCAACCAGACATCGTCCTTGTGTTTGGGAGAAATAGAGCCTGAGGTTTGAAGGAAGGAATAAAGGTACAAGGTATAAAAAAAACTCTTAACTGCCAGTGCCAAAGGGCTAAATTTTAAGTTTATGAGCTTTATGCCATCTTGAAAAAATATTGATCGTAGTCCATTTAGCTTTTATTTAACCTTGGTGCACAGGTGGTTGACTTTTTTTAAAAATGGGTTTACTCTTAATAGAATGCATAATATTGTTTTCTAAAATTACATTCCATAATTATCTTGTTATTCTGTAGAAAACTGTACAGAAAGTAAGTAAATCAGAATAGCTTCAATGGAAATACAATTTAAATTTTTTTTAAATTTTGAATAAATTTACTTCCATTGCGGTAAAAGAAACAGTTGGCTTGTATATTTCAGCAAAAGGAAGCTATTCTCTGGTTATTAACTTTGTCAGTGTTGTTATTTTTACTCTTAAACAGTTTCTTCCTTGCTGTGATAAAAATATACCTTTACTGTTTCTGATCATGACCAAATCTGTATTACTTGTCAAATTTAGATCTTAAGTTGTCATGGCTTTTGTGAGCAATTATGTTTTTAAAATACCTGTTTTGCTTCTTTGATTAACATGATGAGCATGAATGCCAAAATTATTTTTTAACTAGATTCATTTTCTTTAAACTATTTCTGATATTTGTGACAAGCCAAATCAGCCTTTTAGAAGGTGCTATTGCTAACTGTGGAGTAACTGGCAACAAGGAAGCCCCCCCCCCCCTTTTTTGCCTAATGTTGGCTTTTACTGGGAAAAGGTATTTAAAAAAAATAGCAGAATTTATAGCTTCCTCTGTGTCCATGATTAGGACTGGATTGTCAGAATTTTCTTTTGTTGAAGTAAAAGAAAAATCGCCACTACTGAATTTATTAAATACTACTCTGAAGATTCATTCCTTAATGCTTAGAATTTTGACGTTTCAAGACTAGACCAGTGGAAGTGCTGAATTTGCATTAAAAAAGCTAAAATACTTAATTTCGCACTTTAAGGTTTAAGTTTTACTCTGCCTAAATTAGTGATAAGCAGATCAGCTCTGAACAATATTTTGTTTATACAATCCTGTTGATGAATATAATTTATGTTTTTTAAAAGTCTTTATTTTTCATCTCTGTTAAAGCTGTGTAAATCTTTTTCAAATGCAATTTTTAAAGTTTTGTTTTTCTAACAATTCTCCCAAAAAACTGCATTTCCAATGGTGATAAATATTGTTACTGTGTACTTATGTATTCCCTATATCTGAACACTTGTTGCTGCCTCACAAGAAAATAGAACTTTTATGTTAAAAATAAAGTCTGTTCTTCTTGAGAATCTTTTTCTGTGTGCTTTTATGAATATTGCCTCAAATGCCAATTTCTTTTCAGATATTTCTAGCTTGAAAAGACTTTAGTATATTCTTTTTCACAGGTAGAAAAATGAATTTGTGTTAAGTAGCAGGATATATAATATTCTCAGTTGTTCCTCCTTATTTCCTTGCTACCTCCTCAACTTCCTCCAGAACTGAGAGCACCTGGTATTTGTGGTAAGTGCTACGCAGACATTAAAATACAAGCAAGCATACTGAACGATGTACCTGTTTAAAATTCAGTACTTTACAGGTTGTAAGAGATTTAGCTGGCGGCAGTCACTTAATTTTATTGTAAATTACACATAAAGGAGTTTTTTCCCTTTTGGTAATTCATTCTTGCTAAGCCAGCTATATTCTTCCTTTGTGACAATGGTTTATAGATGCAAGGCAGTTGTTTAGGCTGAGGGGGTTTAGTCTGTATGAAGATTGCATGCAGTATAATCTCTTAGAAAGCAGGGTCACCTTTTAAGTGAAATAAGTGTCACCATGGCTGCCTGTCATAAAAAGTCGTCACCAAGTTACTTTGTAAGAAATTCTAAAAATTATTTCTGGGGGGGGAAGTTAACTGTAATTTGGATATATATGTGTGTGTGTGTGTGTGTATATACATATACATACATAAACACACACACATATATAAACACATTATAATGTAACATAGCATCAAATATGAAGAGAATCTCTCAAACTGGTGTAACATTTTCTCCCATTTTTCTGTCTTTTCCCTCCACCTTTAAAGAGGTTGAGAGGAGAAAATTTAGATCTTAAGTTGGGTGTGCCTAACTTTCTCCGTTTATTTGATTGTTTGCTTTGATTCATTAATATTAAATATACCCCCTTCCCCCAAAAGTTTTTAGGTCTATAATGATTCTCCCTTTAATTTCTTCTAAGTGGCTGGTTGTGAAATATTAGCATCCAGCTAGGAGTTCCCTGCGATGTATATAATTTTTTCCCTTGCTAAGACTGTTTGCTTTTTAAATATATTTATTTTAGACTTCTATTAGAATGGGCTTCCCTGCTGGCTCAGACAGTAAAGAATCTGCCTGCAATGCAGGAAACCCAGGTTTGATCCCTGGGTCGGAAAGTTCCCTTGGAGGAGGAAATGGCAACCCACTGCAGTACTCTTGCCTGGAGAATCCCATGGACAGAGGAGCCTGGTGGGCCACAGTCCATGAAGGTTGCAAAGAGTCAGACATAACTGAGCAGCTAACACTTTCACTTCCATTAGAACGTGGTGAGATAACACAGGTGACTTCACAGTGGTGCAGTGGTAAAAGAATCTGCCCACCAATGTAGGAGACTCAAGATGTGGGTTTGTTCCCTGGGTCAGGAAGATCCCCTGGAGTAGGAATTGGCAACCCACTCCAGTA